TTTTTTTTTGTGGTTGTTGTATTAATTTCCCAGGGCTGACGTGACATATTACCCCTGGCTTAAATAACAGAAATTTATTCTTTCATAGTTCAGGAGGCCAGAAGTCTGAAATCAAGCTATCAGCAGGATTGGTTCCTTCTGGTGGCTCTGAGGGAGAAATCGTCCCTTGCTTCTCTCCTGGCTTCTGGTGGGTACCCACAATCCTTGGCACTCCTTGGCTCATGGCAGCAAAACTCCAACCTCTGCCTTTGTCTTCACATGGCCTTCTTATAAGGACACCAGTCATTGGATGTAGGGCCCACCCTAATCCAGTATGACCTTTTATTAACCCTTACATCTGCAAAGACCCTATTTCCAAATAAGGTCACATTCTGAGGTTCTGTATGGACATGGATTTTTGAGGGGCACCGTTCAACGCAGTACAGTTGCATTAAGACTTTCCCAGTGAAATACCTTTGATCTTTCTTTCCATCAATATAAGTACTTAAAAGTAAGAACCAAAGGATACAAAGACTCTATAACACAGATATTGTGCTGCCACAAACCCTGACTCCTGGGGGATGGAAGTAGAAATTGCTTCGTGAAGACTGGAGCTGAAGGGCTAAGTATGACGGTTATCACAATGCCTAGTAAACATCCCCTTCCCTTTGTATGCTGTTCTCAAATACCTTCCTGTTTTCCATGTAAATAAAAGATGAAAAGTTATTAAGTTATTTGCATGATTATTAGCTAAGGAATCATGAGCACAGTATTTCACTAACTTCTTACTATCTTAGCATGATGTATGAGGGTCCTTATGATCTGGCCCCATACCACTTGTCCAGCTCACTTCCCATGCTTCTCCATAGTCCACTATGGTCCAGTGTTTATTTTCTAAAATCCTCTGAATTCACCAGTTCTCATCTATCTCCAGATATCATATGCAATTCCCCCAAACTTGACCCTTTGATCATTGTCTTTTCATTTTATAAGTCTTGGCTTAGCCATCACCTCTTCCAATGAACTCTTCCCGAATCCATCAGATTGGGTGATATACTTCTTCTGTACTTCTCTGCTTTCCCCATCATAGCACCTATCACACAGTGTAATAAATGTCTGCCTCCTAAAATTATGAGGTTCTGGAGGCCAGGGATTCAGTTTATATTTCTATACAACTAATGCCTTGCATAGTGTTTGTATATGATACAGAATGATAAACACAATTGAATGAAAGGAATGGTGACCCCAGTTAATTTAAAATCATTTGCGCTGAGAAATTAATGAGATTGAATAGGAAAACAAAAGAAATGCCTTTTCAATGCAGTGTTCATCTCTGACTACTTATCTCTGTAAAGAAAATGTTAGTACCATTTGCTGTATCTTTCAATTCAAAATCATGCTATTGTCTTGCCTCAGGCAGTTTCTAGGATCATTTTGTCTTCCCTTATCACTTCGGTATTGGCAGCCTAGTCTGGTTCCAGGCTTTCACCATGGATGATATATTCCTGCTGATTGTGAGGTTTAATACGGCTAGTAGACAGCAGTGAGGAAGCTAATTAAGAAGGTGCATAGATTCTAGAGTTGAAATTTGCTTCATCTATATATGATTTTAGAGAACAAATCTGTTCAGATAGCCTCAGTTTGGTCTGATCCTCTATACCCCTACCAGCATCAAATCTATCATGTATTTTTTAGGATGTGTGGAAGTTTTTACATGTATTTCATTGCTTCGTTTATTAACACATTATTAGGCAATGAGCTGCTTAAACTAGAGCCCTGCTATTAGCTTACAAGATTAGATTAGCATTAATAATTGCAAGTGTTAACTGTGATGACCACCACAGCAATATAAATATTATTTATTAATAGCCTGCTATATGTCCATGACAATTTAGAATGATCTTTTACCATACCACT